AACACCTTGTGGATGATGCATGTTAGAGGTTTTGGACTATGGGATCCTTCTCCAGAAAGTTGGGCATGTCAGCAGGAGCAGGGGTGGCCGCGGCTTTGTCCTCTCCCAGCCGGGGTCCCAGACTCAGACTCTGCTGGTCCGCGGGCCTTTGGGACACAGTGGACCTGAGGCCCAAAGAGGAAGGAGCCAGGCCCGAAGTCAGAGCGGGGGAGGGGGGACGGGCCAGGACCTCAGGCTCCAGCCTCCAGCCCTTGCTTTTCCCCACCAGGAGGGGCCTCCTGCTCTCTCGGGCGCCGCTGCCATCGAGCACCACTGTGCTGCGGATGCTGCTGGCTGCTCGTGGCTCTTTCAGTGAAGGCTCGGGTCCTCGAAGCACCTTCCCACAGCGACCTGGCCAGGCCTCTGTCTCTTGGACACGCCAGGCCACCGATGCCACCAGAGCCGTCCCTGAGGGTTCTCACAAGAGGGGAGCTCCCTGGAGTACCCCAGGCAGCCTCTCCGGGGCTACCCAGGGCCACTTCCAAATCGGGAGAGGTTTTTTCCTTCCAAAACATATAATTTTAACAGAACTCTCACCATGCTTTACTGGAGTCGTCAGGGTGGGGGGAGGGGAGGGAGGGAGACGACCCCCCGGGGGCCCCGCTGCAGTGCCTGTGTGTGCACCTCTGCGCTTGGGGCTGGGCAGGCACTGGCCTCTGGCTGTCGGGCCTGAATTCCAGTGGGACACTCATGGGCAGCTCGGGATTGATGGCCAGTTATCAATAATGCATCTGTTCAGAGTGGCCTGGGAGGCCATTAACTGGGCCTGCCACCCCTGACGAGCAACCTTGGAGAAAGCTGGCTGGGCATGCCCATGGGAAGCTCAGATCCGCAGAGGCAGGAGGGGCTGCCACCCTGGGAGAGCCCCGGGGGCGCCTCTGGGCCTCCTGTGACCTGAGCCCTTCCCCTCTGCCACCCTGCAGTAAGCCAGCCTGGGTTTCTTACTCTTTGAGGCCAACAGGCCCATTTGAGGACTGGGTTGTTGAGGTCCAGAGTCTACGCCTCATCTGAGACCAGAGTTAGAACTCAGCCTGTGGCCGGGGTTGGGGCTCAGGTTTTGTCACAGTTCTGGGGTCGAGCTGGGGCGTGGTGTGTAGCGGAGCAGAGTCCGTCCTGGGCGGGTAAGAGGAGCAGGATATGCTGGGCTCCTCGCTGGCTGCCCAGAGCCAGCGGGGCACATTCCTTCCCAATTCTGCACGACAGCCTGTGGGTAGTGGGGTATTTACACAACAGAGATGTGCCTTTCTTTAAAGAAACAAGAAAAAAATCTGAGCTCCTTCCCCAAATTCCACTGAAACAGTAGTACAGAAAAAGATCAGACACATAAGAATTAAACTGTCAGTAAGACTTCCACTAAGATGGAAGCGTAGTTAGACACACTGTACCTCCTCGCACAACCAAAATTAAGGACAACAAAAATTTAGAAACAAAAAAAACCCCAACTAGATCTGACAGAAAACTGAACTGTACGGAAGTCTGACAACCATTCATCTAGACTGGTAAGAGGGGCAGAGTTGGTGGCCGGCGGAGAGGGGTCGAGGCAGGAAAAAGAGGTGGTTGGCAGTCCCAGTGAGGATTGCAAGGCCGCTAGCTGACCGCGGACACGCATTCGCGTGCACATAAACCAGGTGAAAATGGGGAGTGAGACGGACCGAGCAACCCAGGGCCCTAGCGCTGGGAAATAAAGCCTAAAAGCACCGATTGAAGACACCTGTGTGGGTTGAGGTGCCAGGAGAAACTCTCAGCCTCACAAGAGAGTTCGTTGGAGAGATCCACAGGGTCCTAGAGGGTACACAAGCCCACCCACCTGGGAATCAGCACCAGAGGGGCCTGGTTTGCTTGGGGGAAGTGGTGGAAGGGACTGAATTCCAGCAGAGAGTGGAGCAAACGCCATTGTTCCCTCTCTGACCCCACCCCCACATACAGCATCACAACCCAGTGACTGGGTTGCCCCGCCCAGGTGAACACCTAAGGCTCCACCCCTTACCACGTAATAGGCACAACCAGAACAAAAAAAAAAAAGATGGCCCAAATGGAAGAACAGATCAAACCTCCAGAGCCAATACATCTAAGTGACCAAGAGATAGTCAACCTATGAGATCAAAGCACTGTTCAAAGCACTGGCAATCAGGATGCTCACAGAATTGGTTGAATTTGGTTGCAAATTAGAGGAAAAAATGAAGGCTGTGCAAAGCGAAATGAAGGAAAATATACAGGGAACCAATATTGATGGGAAGAAAACTGGGACTCAAATCAATGGAGTGGACCAGAAGGAAGAAAGAAATAACCAAACAGAAAAGAATGAAGAAACAAGAATTCAAAAAAATGAGAAAAGGCTTAGGAACCTCCAGGACATCTTGAAACGTTCCAACATCTGAATTATAGGGGTACCAGAAGGGGAAGAGGAAGAGCAACAAGTGGAAAAGTTATTTGAACAAACAATAAAGGAGAACTTCCCCAATCTGGCAAAGGAAATAGACTTCCAGGAAGTCCAGGAAGCTCAGAGAATCCCAAAGAAGTTGGACCCAAGGAGGAACACACCAAGGCACATTATAATGACATTAGCCAAGACTAAAGTGAAGGAGAGAATGCTAGAAGCAGCAAGAGATAAGGGGACAGTCACCTACAAAGGAGTTCCCATCAGACTGTCAGCTGACTTCTCAAAAGAGACCTTGCAGGCAAGAAGGGGCTGGAAAGAAGTATTCCAAGCCATGAAAGGCAAGGACCTACATCCAAGATTGCTCTCCCCAGCAAAGTTTTCATTTAGAATGGAAGGGCAGATAAAGTGCTTCTCAGATAAGGTCAAGTTAAAGCAGTTCATCATCACCTAGCCCTTATTATATGAAATGTTAAAGGGACTTATCTAAGAAAAGATAAAAAATATGAACAGTAAAATGACAGCAAACTCAGTTATTAACAACCATGCCTAAAACAAAAAGAAAAGCAAACTAAGCAAACTAGAACAGGAACAGAACCATAGAAATGGAGATCACATGGAGGGTTAGCAACAGGGGAGTGGGAGGAGGAGAGAGGGGGAAAAGTTACAGAGAATAAGTAGCATAGATGGTAGGTTGAAAGTAGGGGGAGGGAAAGAATAGTACGGGAAATGTAGAAACTAAAGAACTTACGACACGGACATAAACTAAAGGGGGAATGTGGATGGGAGGGGGTGTGCAGGGCGGAGGGGAATGAAAGGGGAAACAGGACAACTGTAATAGCGTAATCAATAACATATAAAAAAAAAACTCGGTAAACAGTGTCCAAGGCAGTGCACTGGGGGGATTGGAGAGTGGATGTGCAAGTGTGGGCCAGTCTGTGGGGCAGAGGAAGACAGTGGGGAAGGGGCCCAGCTTGCCTCACAGCCCGAGACCATAGCGGGAAGGGTGAGAGTGAAGTTGGCCACAGGGGAAGGGTTGGCTAAAGGTCTGCACACATAATACTGGACCCCCAGGCCCCTCCCAAGTCCTGCACAGCCAGGGGACACACTCCCTGGCCCCAGAGCCCCGTGCATGTCCTGTTATTTTTAGAGAGGGAAGGGAGGGAGCAAGAGAGAGAAACCTCAACGTGTGGTTGCTGGGGGCCGTGGCCTGCAACCCAGGCATGTGCCCCAACTGGGAATCGAACCTGCGATACTTTGGTTCGCAGCCCGCACTCAATCCTGAGCCACACCAGCCAGGGCAGGAATGGGTTTTTTTTTAAAGCATGGGGTTTGTGAGGGGTTAGGCCAGGGGTGTCAAACTCATTTTCACTGGGGGCCACATCCACCTTGTGGTTGCCTTCAAAGGGCCGAATATAATGTTAGGCCTGCATAAATGTATCTCCTGCTTAACAGTTAAGTGAGAGCTCGGCGCTGCCGCCTGGTAGAAACAAGGTGCTGGGCTGGATAAAACAAGGTGGAGGGCTGGATTCGGCCCTCGGGCCTTGTGTTTGCCACCTGTGCGTTAGGCTGTTGCTCTTCTAGGCAGGAGCCTCAGGGCTCCAGGATGTGAGCCGAGACAGTGGTTAAGGTAAAGGGCCCAGCTGTTCCCAGTCTGACCACCGGCTGCTGTGGCCGGCGCCAGGTGTCTGTTGTGTGCGGCAGAAGAGTTTCCACGAAGCTGCGGGCTGTTGAGCAAGTTGGTGTGACTGAGTCATGCATGGGCAGTGCAGCAGGTTGGGGAACTGGCCTGACCCTCTCAGGCGGAATCCTCTGCCCCTTCTGCTGTCCCGCTCCCAGCACCAAGGCAGACGGGGGTGTCCCTGCGCAGCAGCCTGACAAACCCGCCGGGCAACGCCACAGTCCCCGACACAGCAGCTGTGCACGCTGGCGCAGGGAAGTTGCCCGATGCCAGTGCTCTGCGCGACCACCCTAGTGTTAGCGAATGCTTTAGTGGAGTGTTTCACTTTCCAGAGAATAATAAAACATTAAAATAAATAAAAATATCAGGGTGTGCCAAGTGCAATGCAGAGAATTCTAAGAGGCTGACCTCACTGAGTGCCCCGGGTGGCTGCCGCAGGTGGGGAGCCGGCCAGGTGATCTGGAGCAGAGGGCAGAGGTGAGCCCGGTACAGGCTCGATGTCCAGCAGGAAGCAGGGGAGGCCCGGGTTGCGTGGGCTGCGGAAGCCACGAGCAGGGAGCTTGGGTTTTCTCCTCCCGGCCGAGATGAGTGGACAAGGGGGTGACATGAGAGCCTCCCATTCCTGTTGGAGCAGCCGCAGTGGGGCAGGGGAGAGCGGGCAGTGGGGCAGACGCGGCACACGGGTGACGGGGGAGGGGAAGCCCAAAGCAAGGGAGGTGCCTTTGTGATTGGCTCCAGCGAAAAACGAGATGGTGGTGGTTAGTATTGTTGTTGGTTATAAGGAGCATCAGTCTGGCCTTTGCGTGCTCAGCACCCCAGACAGCTGCTTCTGCCCGAAGCATCCGGTGCCCCCACCCAGGCCCACTCTGTGGTTCCCCAACTCACAACCCTCCCCTCTTGCAGTTTGAGATCCGGCAGCTGCGGGCGCACCTGGCGCAGCAGGACCTGGACCTGACAGCGGAGCGGGAGGCGGCGCTGAGGGCACCACAGGTGCTCCGCCGGCCGCGCAGCCGCTACCATGTGGTGGAGGAGGCGGCAAACGAGGGCTTCATGGAGGAGCTGCAGCCTTCACCAGGTAAGCCGTCCGCAGCCTCCTCCAGTCTGGTCGTGGGGAGACCCTCGCCTCTGTGACCCCAGGGTCTGCACCCAGCTTCCTGGGGCAGGAGCCTCTCACCTCGCAGGGCCGTGTGTCCTCCTTGGCCCCTGATATGGCAGGTGAGTTCAGGTCAGGACTATTACCTGAGCCCAGGAGGAACCCATTTGGCCAAGCTACCTTGACTGATCTTTAAGTGGTCTCTGGCCTGTACCTTCTCATGCCTGTGGGCTCTGAGCTTTGTGTCCAAGGCCCTCCAGTCCTCACAGGACCCCCAAAGGAGATGCGACTTCCTGCCTTATGGGCAAGGACCCCTCCCCCAGGAAAGCCATTCAAAGGCTACTCTCCTATTGGGCTTCCTGGCCCACCAGGGCCCAGATCATAAGTCCAGGCCTGGGGCCAGAGCAGCCGGAACCTCAGCCCAGAGCACAGTCAGCTCTGTCACCTTGTTCAGCGGGCGTAACCTGTCTGGGTCTTGGTCTTGCTGTGAAATGGGAATGTGCTGAGCCTCCAAAGGAGCGCCCAGGGCAGCGGGGCAAGTCCTGCAGGCGGGGGTGCTGTTGTGTCATCTTCGGGGTGGGTATACCCTCATCGATGACATTGCCATGGCAGGTTTGGGCCTTGGCAGGGCTTGGGGTGTTCTGATGGGTGCAGGCCCAGCACCAGCCTCATCTCAGAGGCCTCAGGGGCCAGGCAGGCAGATGTGCACCTGCGTTAGAGTCCAGGCAGCGTCCTGGGTGCCTTGACACAGGCCCCTCTCCTGCTCAGGTCTGAGCCCTTCTTCCTGCCCTGCCTCACACCGGAAAATGTTACTGGGTGGCCAAAAAGTCCATATGGTTTTTTTCCATGAAATGAAAGACACATTTCTACTTTCACCAGTCACTTTACTGATTTGGATATTTTGATTATGTCGGCTATATCTTGCTATTGGCTTCTACTAGTAGAAGGCCAGGGGTGCTGTTAAACATCTTCCAATGCATGACAGCCCCACAGCACTTATTTGGCCAAAATGTCAACAGTGCCAAGAAACTTCACCACTTTTGACATGTTCTATCAGTCACAGCACTTTCTCTGCACAAATCTTTTTCAGTTGCATTTTTACCTTTCCTGAAATAATAAAGCATAATATGCTGAAGATGTTGTGCATCTTCTTCCGTCTTCAATATTAAAATGGCTGCACAAAAATTCACCAAAATGCACGCTGATATGAGAGCTGTCACAATACAATCTAACAAGATTGTTTTGAGCGACATTAAAGACAACTAAGCACTACTAGAGCCATTGTATGGAAAAAACATAACGGACATCTGGCCAACCCAGTATCAAGTGCTGTTTTGTACCTTTGTGCGGAACTTTTCATTCATCTGTGTTTGGCTGTAGCTTGGGGGTTATTTTTAAACTTATTTTTCATTCCAGTTGGCTTACAGTATTAGTTTCAGGTTACACTGTAATGATTCAATGTTTAAATACCTTGCAAAGTGACCACCACAGTATGCCTAGTAACCGCCTGTCACCGAACGTACTCATGTACATGGCCTCTATTTCCTGTGGCGTCCCTGTGCCTCACTGTGCACCTGGACGTTGGTGCCTCTTTACCCTTCACCCACGCATCCTCCCTTCTGTGCCTCCTGGTTTAGACACATTTTTGAAGCATGTCATTCTACCCTCCACGTTTTATCTCTGCTCATGTTTTCCATTTTCAATCTCTGTGCTGCACACAGGCTGTCCTAGGCCTTCCAATGGACTAGTTATGTGTCTGGCCTTCTGTTAAACCTGTAGAGAAGTTTGTTCCGTTTGTAAGATTTTTTTTTCAGTGAATATTATTTTGTATTAGTTGCAGGTGTACAGCTATCAAGGTTAGACGACAAGGTTAAGGAACACTTTACAAAGTGTTCCCTGATATTTCAAGTACTCTGGAAATTTGTTCCATTCTTTTATTTGGGACATGTTTTTCTTGTGTTGGCTGCTTTTCTGTTTGTTGTGTATTAGGTAGAGCTGCTGCATCTCCTGGGCTTGGTAGTGGCCTTATGCAATAGGTGTCCTGTAGGGCCCAGTGGTGCCATCTCTCTGGTCACCTGAGTTGGGCATTCCAGGTGTGTCCCTTGTGTGGGTTGCGTGTAGCGCCATTGAGTCTTTTTAAAAGATTTTTAAAATTTATTTTTACAGAGGAGAAAGAGAGGGGAAAATCAACGTGTGGGTGCCTCTCACACACCCCCTACTGGGGACCTGGTCCACAACGCAGGCATGCACCCTGACTGGGAATTGAATCTGGGACCCTTCGGTTCACAGGCCACTGAGGGCCAGGGCTGCAGTCGTGATTGCTTTTTGGCACATCAGTTGGAGGGTTGGACCCTCAGGTTGATTGGTTGTGAGGGTCAGCTGGGACAGCAGTGCAAGAGCTGTTGTACAGGTGCCGACTCTACACAGCAGGAGTGGCTTCAGAGGGGCTCTGGTGCCAGAGGAGTCTTGAGTGTATTTTTGTGGAGCTGGTTTCATGTGCTCTGGTGTGGTCTGAAGCAGCCCACCAGGCGTGTTGGTTCTGAGGTCTCTTGGGAGGTGGAGGCCAAGGCCTGTTGCTGGCTGTTCCCTGCCGAGGGCCATTGGTATGAGCTACAAAGGGACCTGCAGATGGTTGCTACTGGTGCTGGGCTTGGAGAGGCCCAGGACAGGCTAAGCTGCAGACCGGGGCTGCCTGCCACTAGTGTTGAGCTTGGGGCTGTTTAGTGAGAAGTACAAGGCATGCTGAGGCCAGATGAGGCCTGTTTGGGGTTTGTGGACCTTTGAGAGATTTTAGGGAAGCCTGCAGCACGTGCCAAGACAGGCTGTTTGTGCGGAAAAGCCATGAAGCGACTTGAGTTTGGTGGAACAGGGTCTCAGGGGATCACCAAGGTGGGGTGAACAATTAGCCAGGTTGCTGGAGGCTCAGATGCTGTCCACCTGCAGGGGGAGGCCTCAGCAAAGGAATAGTGGCCCCTGCCAGCACTTTGGGAGAAGGCAGCCCCCGAAGCCTCATTCTGAAGCTAGACAATTCAGTTCTTCCCCACGTGCCCCTGATGCCCTTTGAGCTGCCACCCCAGTGCTGGAGCTCAGAGCAAGTGAGCCCACCAGTGAAGAAACCCAGGTGTGGTTTCTTTATGAGACACACCTGGGACTCCAGAAGCCCTCTGTCCCACTCAGCCACAACCTTGGCTGGTTTCCAGTCAGAAGTTATGGGGACTTCCCACTGGAACCCAGGGCTGGGGAGCTGGGTGCGGGGCTGGGACCCTCTGCAGCTGAGATACCCCTATTGATGGGTTTTTAACCATCACACCTGGGTGTGGGACCAGCCCGGTCCATGTGTCTGCCCTTCCTAAGTCTATGTGGCTTCTTCTGTGCATCCTTAGTTACAGTTCTGTTGAAGTAGTTAGTCTTCAGGTGGCACTCAACGATGGTGGTTTTGTAGTTTAGCTGTAATTTTTTATGTGGTTGTGGCAGAAGGCATGCACAGCGTTTACCTATTCAACTATGGTGACTGGAAGCCCCTGAACTCAGGATTTCTGGTGCAGCCCACGTTCCATAGTGCCTGTCTGCCTGTCCCCAGATCCTCAGCTCTTGAGACAGCAGCATGGCCATTACTCTCAGCCAATGATCTCTAGACCCTGGATGACTGATGCCACATCTGGGCCCAGGAAGTCAAGATCTAAGCTTGGAGAGTCTGCAAAGCAAGGCTTTAAAATAATTGTACGTTTGAGGAGCACAGTGAAGCTTTGCGTTTTCGCTTCTCTCGGTCCTCCTCTCTCTGCATTCCCTCTAGTGGGGACTTTCAGGACAAGGAAGGAAGCAGAATCAGGAGGGACAAAGCTGGGTCAGACTGGAAGCTTACTCCATCTAGATAGGGTCGGCTGTGTATCACCAGCTAGGGCGTTGTGGGGACTGTGCTGGCTTTCCTGGGGCCTGGGGGGGGGGTGCTCTGAACAGGCACTCAGCTCAAACACGCACCCTGGAAGCAGCTGCAGGTGCCCCTCCCAGCCGGCCCTGGATCCCCGTCCCTGTGCTTCCTCATCTCCTCTGACACCCACAGCCTCTGAGCTCCCTAGGGGCACACATGCCCCTGTGTACGAGGTCAGTGCCTCTGAGTGCTAAGGCAGAGGTGTGGAGGGCAGGCACATGGCCCACGTGACTCACACCCTTAAATGGGCCAGAGTGACAGGGCGCCCCCGCCGACCTCACCCTGACCGGGAGCTGTGTTAAGGGATTTACATGACATGGGAAATTATGGCCGGCCAAGCTGGGGGCATTCTAGGCCACTCTGGAGATGAAGCAAGGGCAGCATGTGTTGCTAACAATGACCTTCAGGCCAGTGAGGGCTCTGAGGCCCAGCCTGTCACAGCTGTCCACACACAGTCCAGGGATGCCCCTGCAGACATGAGTGGTCAGTCCCAGGAGCGTGGAGTGCCAGCCCCAGCCCAGGCAGAAGGACGCAGGGCCCACAGTCACACTGTGACCCACAGGTTACACTCACACTAACACCAGTCAGTTTGTGTTTAGACTTCTCCGGCACAAATCACTTTTATAACCTGGGCCACAAAGTTACAGGCGTGGGAGCCTGCCAAGTTCATGGTGTAGTCAATAAAACTTTCCTCCCAAATTTATTGGTCTTTAAGCTTCCCCATAACTCATGAGTTACAGCCCCTGCTGGGACTGCCATGGTCTTACCCATCCATCACAGCGAGCCTCAGCATCCCACCCCAGAGCGACACCAGGCCAGCAGGCCTGGGCCTTCCCTGTGCCCAGCAGAGCTCCATTTGGAAGAGGAGACCGTGTGGCAGCGAAGGCAAGTCCGGCTAGAGGGGGACCTGGCAGGCGAGCTGGTGGGGTGAGCCTGAGTGGGAGGGGGCGTACTACACGTGGAAGTAGAGGGGGGAACTAGTTGCTCTAGCCAGGGGGGGGAGGTGAGCTGAAGGGGCAAAACAGGTGGGGTAGGTATGGGGGGAGCTTGGGGTGGCTTAGATGGGCAAGGTAAAGTAGGGAGCTTGGGGTGAGCCTGAGGGGGATGTAAAGTGGCGAGGTAGTGGGGCGACCTAGTGTGTGTGGCTGGGGAAGTAAGCTAGGAGGAGTGAGAGTGGTGGTCGAGAGGGGCTGGCGAGACTGGTGAGCTGGGGTGGGGGACAAGTTAGAGGGGCCTGCTAGGTGGGTAAGCTACAGAGTCGAGTGAGAATGGGGGCTACACTGCAGTTAGAGTGGGATGGTGGGCAAACTAGCACGTGGAGTGAGATTACGGAGCTAGTGTGGGAGCTGTGGGCCCCACAAGGGGGCGACATAAGGGGCCAAGTTGGAGTGGGGAGTTAGCGAGTGAACGTAAGGGGGGAGCAGGAGGTGTGAAGGGAGAGTGGGGAGATGTAGATGGGCAAGCTACAGTGGGGATCTGGGAACCACCTAGAAGGTCGAGAGGGCTGGGGGCAACAGGCTAACGTAGAGAACTAGGGCACCAACCGAGTGGCTGAGCCAGAGCGGAGAGCTACAGGGGGAAGCTACGGGGTGAGCTAGAGTGGGTAGTTGGGGACTTAAATGATTGGAGAGCTAGAGCATGCGTGGGGGAGCAGTGGGGACAAGCAAGGGGGTAAGCTAGGAGGGCAAGGTGGAGGTCAAACTAGAGTCAGAGTAGAATGGGGAGATAGATAGCATGGTGCCCAAGATTGGGGATTAGAAGGGTGAGCTACTGTGGAGACCTGGGGAGCCGGGTTTTGGGAGGTAGAGTAAGGAGCAGCTGGAGAGCAGGAGTTGGGAGATAAGAGTGGGGGAGCTAGGTGGGTGAGGTACAGGGGGCACCTGGAGTTTGGAGCTAGGGGGCTGAATTACAGGCAGGAGCTAGAGGAACAAGCTAGAGTGGTGAGCTTGAGAGGGGAGCTGGGGTGCCCTAGTTTAGGGGGCTAGCTAGTTAGGTGAATTACAGAGGTGGGCTAGAGAGGTCAGCTGTGGGGGGAACTTAGGCTGGGGAGCCAGTGGGGACCTTGAGAGGTTTGAGACTGGTCAGCAAGAGTGGGGACCTAAGAAAGGAGATGGGGGTGAGGGTAGAGCAGGGAGTTAAGAGTTGGGAGTGGGGACAAGCTAGAGTCAGGAGCAAGAATGGAGACCTAACGAGAGCAAGCTACAGGGGCCAGAGAGAATGGGGAGCTAGGCTGGTGAGCTGGAGTGGGGGCTAGAGCGGGATCTAGAAGGGGTAGCAATGGAGCCAAGCTCCATTGGGGAGCTAGGTAGCTGCCTAGACGGGCAGGAAATTATGGGCAACTAGCAGGGTGAACCGGGAGTAGGCTAGAGGGGATGGTAGAGTGGGAGACACAAGAGTGATGCAGAGTGTGGAGGTGAAGTGGGGAGTTAGGGGCACTGGGATGGTGGAGGGGGTGACCTCGAGTAGGGAGCTAAGGAGGTGAACTCGACTAGGGATCAGAGGAGCTAGAGAGAATAGGGATCAGACAGGTGAGCTCAATGAAGAGACAGGGTGAGAGGCTAGAGGGATGAGCTACAGGGGGAACTAGCGGGCTGGCTAGAGGAGTAAGCCTGAGTGGGTAGGGTGGGGGTGTAAAGTGGGGAAGCTGGACAATGGAGCTCAAGTGTGGAGGGTAGGGAGCGAGAATGCAAGATAAGGAGCCAAGATAGAGTGGGGAGTTAGCAGGGGAACAGAGGGGAGATGTGGAAGGGTGAGCTAGACTGGGCATCCGGTGATGACCAGTGTCACGATGGGGGAGGCAGACTAACGTGGAGAGCTAGAGCGTGAGCTAGAAGGGGGAGCAATGGGAGCACGCTGCAGTAGGGAGCTGGACAGCAATGAGGTCGGGCTGGAGGGGTGAGGGGGAAGTAGGCGAGACAGTGGAGCTAGTATTGGCTTTAGTGACTGAGCTGAAGAGGTGACCGTGGGTGTGAGCTAAAGTAGGGTGCTAAGAGGGGAAGGAGGGGTGAGCTAGGGTTGAGAACTATATTGGGGAGCTAGGAGGGTGCACTGGATTTGGGGATTAGGAAGGGCTCTGTAGAGAGGGAGCTGGGTTAGGAGTCCAGCTGGAAGGGGAACTCACGAGAGGGGTGACGCACAGCAGAAAACTGCTGTGGCAAGGGCATGTGGGAGGGGGTAGCCAGTGGGCAGGCTGGAGTGGGATTAGGTTCAGAACTAGTGAGGTGCTCCAACTGAGACTCAAAGGCAGGGGAGAGCTACAGGAGCAGGAGAGAGGGACAAAATATGGGCAGCAGTTCTAGTGGGTATCTATGTTGAGGTAAAATGAAAGCTAGGGGGTGAGCTAGAATGGGTAAATATTTTGGGGAACTATACACAACTAAATTGGGGAGCTGGAGGGACAGAACACAGTAGGGAGCTAGGATGGTCTCCTAAGGGTCAAGCCAGTGTGGGATGGTAGAGTATGGGGAGCTAGATTGGGAAGTTAAAGGGTGAGCTAGTATGTCTAGATTGCAGAACTGGGGGTGCATACTAGAGGGGTAAGCTATAGTGGGGGGCTAGGTGAGGTAGAGTGGGAAACCAGAGTGGGGAGCTGAGTCACATAGTAGGGGGAGTTAGGTGGCAAGAGGGTGGAGAGAGGTGTTGTTCTAGAGTAGGGAGAGCGGTGTGTGTGGATGTGGGGAGTATTTGAGTGGAGTGGAAGCAAAAGGAGTTAGGGGCCCAGCTAACGTGGGAAGCCAGCTAGGGATGAAGTGGGGAAAGCTGCAAGGGAGATCTGGGGGTGGGGGATCCAGGAGCAAAGTGCAAGTGTGGAGAGCTAGGGGTGTAACTAGGGGTACCAAGGTGGCAGGGTGTGGAAGAAGGGGAGCTAAAGTGGGGGTTAGAAGTGGGAACTGTGGGTTTAGCTCTCATAGGGAAGCTTGGAGGCAAGCAAGATGTGAGACTGACAGGACCAAGCCAGAGTGGGAGCTAGATGGTTCAGCGAGAAGGTGCCCTGTAAGTAAGACCCACGGGAGACTAAGGCCCCCTGAAATACAAGTCACCCATGGCACTGAAAAGGTAAGGTGGCCAACTAGACTGGGGTTCTACAGGGTGAGCTAGAATGGGGACCTAAGGTGGGAAGTTACAGGTCAAGCTATGGGCAACATAAGGGGTTCAAGCTTGATTGGGAAATTAAAGGAGCAAAATAGCGGGGTGATCTAGAAAGAAACTAGATGGGGCAGCTGTGGAACAGCGTGCTAGGGAAGCACGTCGCGGGGGTGAGCAACAGTGGAAAGCCACACTGGGGAGCTAGACCAGGGCACTAGTGAGCAAGCTCGAGTATGCGTGACAGGGAACTGGGGTGGGGGCAGCCTGGAGGGCAGAGCTAAAGAGGGAGACAGGGATGTGCTAACTAGGGTGGTGAGGCAGAGTAGGAGCTAGAGGGGTGAGCTAGGCTGGGCTGTCAGGAGGGTGCACTAGCGGTGGGAGCTGTGGGGTTTGAGCTAGGGGGACAGGCTAGGGGATTTGTTAGCATGGGTAGCTAAAGTTGGGATTTGGGGGTGAGCTAAAGGAGCTAGGGTGTGAACTCTGGGGGCTAGAGGGTTGAGCTACGGCTCAAGCCACAGTGGGGTCCTAGTGTGGGAAGCTGGAGGGGCAAGCTAGATTTGGGAGCTAGAGTGCAGAGCTAAGAGGTAAACTAGAGACAGAAGCTAGAGGATGTGAAGTAGGGTGGGGTGCTAGTGAGCAAGAGTTCTATGACTCGGAGAAAGGGTGATGAAGTAGTGTGGTAAATCACAGTGGGGAGCTAGGTGAACTAGGGTAGTGAGCTGGAGGGTCAGGTTCAAATGGGGAGTCACCTAGAGGGGCAAACTGGAGTAGGGGGAGCTAAAGTGAGCTAGAGGGGCAAGCTAGACTTGGGAACCTAAGGAGTGGGCTTGGGAGACTAGCTGGGGGTTGATCTATGGGGACAAGCTAGAAGAGGCAACTAGATTGAAGAGCTAAGGGGCACGTCAGAGTGGGGAGCGAGGATGGTGAGACAGAGTGGGCGGAGTCAGGAGGTACACTGGGGTAAGCACAGAACAGGGAGTTAAAGTGAGGATATAGCACAGTGAGCTGGGTGGGGGGCTAAGAAACATGGAAGGGGGCAAGCTAGAGGGGAAGCCAGAGAGGGGACTTTGGGTGGCCAGCTATCAGCATGAGCTACAGTGGGGTGCCAGGGGACTGAGCCATGGAGGGGAGCTGATGGGAACTAGAGTGGGGAGCTGGGAGGGGGGGACAGGGCGGCTGGAGGGCTTGTGTGCAAACCGTCTTCTCCTCCTGTCCCACTTCCACGCGTAACGAAGTGTGTCTGAAGATCCTGTGTGTGGGCATACACATACCTGCATGCACGTTTTTCTGACCTTGCTGACAGTAGTATCACTGTCCAGCCCAAGAACTCGTTCTGCTCGGACCTGCCTTCACCAGGACCCAGAGGTGGGGTTGAGGGTGACATGTTACCAGCTCCCCTCCTCTCTTGCAGATAGCGGAGTCCCAGAGCCAGCCATGTGCCTGGTCACCACGGCTGCCGTAGACATCCACCAGCCCAACGTCTCCTCTGACCTCTTCTCGGTGGACGTGCCCCTGAAGCTCAGCGGTAAGGGCACCCGCGTGAGCTCCACCTCCGAGAGCGCGTCCTGCTCCACTGGCAGCTCGGTCCCGGAGGCCCAGAGCGACAGCAGCACCCTGTGCTCTTCTAGGGATGGCAGCACCGCCCGTGACATTTCTTCCGAGCCCAGCCCCTCTCCCCTGCCACTGCCACCACCACCCCAGCAGCAAATGACGGAGCCCACAGTCCAGGACCTGCTGTCCTCCCTGTCAGAGGACCCCTGCCCATCCCAGAGGGCCTTGGACCCAACCCCCTCAGCCCAGCCCAGCCCAGCGGGCTCTGCCCAAACCAGCCCGGAGCTGGAGCGCAGGGTGAGTCTGTTCAACCAGAAGAACCAGGAGGGCTTTCCCGTCTTTCAGATCCAGCCTGTCATCCACTTCCAGCCAGCTGCGCCCACGCTGCACAAATTCAGATCTTTGGAATCCAAAGAGCAGACACTGCACAGGGTCCCTGAAGCCTAGAGCCGCTGGGTGGGAGAAGGGCACACAGTTGGGGCCACGTGTAGGACCCAGGAGCCCACCTGGCCTCTCAGGGTGCTGCCCGCCTCCAGGGAGGTGATACCGGGAAAGGAGGACACATGCCTCAGACCTCAAAGCCCAGAGCTGGTGCCTCCTCTGGCCCTGACCAGGGGAAGGTGGTGCTCATGGCTGGGTTTTTAAACCATTTTTACAAAACCAGCCTGAGGCCCAGCTTCAGCAGGGTGGAGTCCAGGCCCAGCTCAGCCTCTGCCGTTGCCTTCATTCCTGATGCCCACCCTGGACCCTCGGGAATAGCACTGTGAGCAGGGGCTGTCCAGCCCCCACCCCCCCCAAGCCCTCCCGTCCAGGAATCCTGGGTGGAGCCCACACAATCTCACGAAGACCACCATCTGAGCCTATTTTGTTCCTTCTCATTCTCTCACTTCCGCATGAGCCTTTCTGGGTCTTTTCGAGACAAACCTAGTTTTCACCTTCACAGGACATAAAGGGATGAATTTGCAGGTGGATGGGAATGTCCTAGGGGCAGGGGACAGCCATTTTGCAAACTCAGCTTTAATAATAAAAACCAGCTGCACTGAGATTTGGGTTGGCGGAGGTCTTTCTTTGATCTGCTGGCCTAGGCGCAGAGTCTGCAGGGCCTGGGCCTGGGCCTGGGCTGGTGAAAAGCCGTCCAGGGGCCCAACCCCTGCCTGGCAGCCCCGAGGCCTTTTCACAGTGGAGGGAGGGCACTCTGGGCCCAGACGGGAAGCTCTCGCACTGCCTGGGTGTGTGACTTCAGACTAGCCCTGTCCCTCTCCCTCTCCCCCTCATCTCCCCACCAAAACAGAGCTCAGAACTCCCTGTTCCTCACTGACAACTGTGACCCAGCTCCCCCCCGCCCCGCCCCAGGGTCTCCATCCTGGGACCTCAAACTCAGCAGGTGCAAGACTGAGCACCACCTGGAAGCCTGCTTACGCACACGCAGAGCATCAGTGGCTCTTCTCGTTCCCCACAAGCTGTCACGGCGTCTGCCTTCCCGATCACCTGCACGGACCCCAACACGGCCTGGCCCTGGCTCAGCTCCAGCCCAACCTCCCTGTCTCCCTTGCTGAAAAGCTTCCAAGGGGTTTCGTGTTGATAACCACTGTTTTACATACCCCCAAAGTCATGGGGGAGAGAGCTGGACCCCTACTGTCCCTCCACACGGTCATAGTCCCCTCGTGAACTGGCCTACCTGCCACTCTGGCTGCCCTTTCTCCCCCTCTGGTGCTGTCCAGGTTGTTCTTGGTGTGCACCTGCCTCACTCAACCCTCCCTAGAAGCTCCTGTGGTCCCATGGAATCACCTGGCAGCACAGTGACCCCAGGGCTGTCAGCAACCGCTTCCCTTTGGCCCTGAGAGCCCACAAAGCCACAGCACGGGCAGAGTCACGGGGACAGGGAGCTAGACTGGAAGGGAGGGAGGGAGAGCAGCAATTGCAAGGCACAGAGCACCCTCTTGGCTCACAGGGAGGAGAGCAGCTGTTCCAAACGTTAAAGGAATTGCTGCCCAACTGAGTCATTGCAGGGGTGTCACTGGAGGCATCCTGTATCCCCAACAGCAGAATTAAAACTTCCAGAACTGAGCGTTCAACTAACGCCTCTACCGATGGGCTTCTTTAATTCCTGATGACCCTGGGGGGAGGAGGGTGCTGTCAGTATCTGCACTTCACAGGTGAAGCACCTGAGGCTCAGAGACACTTCAGACTCTCCTAAGGTCAAACACTAGTGAGACACCCTGAGACTAGAGCCCAGACCCACGGGACAGTGTGCTGGTGCTGTGCTCCCAGGCTTTAGAGCTTTCGGAAGCAAAACAGTTACTCTCAGCTTTTTCACACGACAGGCTGGAAGGTATTTCATGATTTACAGTCTCTAAGGCAAGACCCAGCAGGGTCCTGGATCAGTGGTCTGTAGGCTCGACTAGAAGTAGCCACCACCCCCAGTGCCCCATCGGGGCGAGTGCTGGCTCCCCGACAGGCAGAGGGGCCTGTCCTGAGCCAGAGGCGAGGCCCAGCTGCCAGCCAGCACGCGCCCCTGCTGTGGCTCCTGCTCTAGAGAAATCCAAGGCCTGAACGGGCAGCAAGGGGGAATGAGGCTGGGCAAGTGTCTCCTGCTCTCGGCCGCAGCTTTCCCACCTAGAAATGGGGTCTGCGGAAGAGCTTCACTTTTAAAAGCTGGTTTTTCTCAGGGTACTTACAAATTGCTGGGAGCTGACATTCTCCCTGAGCACCCGCTGCCATCTTCTTGTCTGAACGGGCAGTACCCTTGTTAAAACTGCCACATGACCAGATGGAGACTGAGGAGAAAGACCCCAGGAGGTATCCGCTGCCTCCGCAAGGACAGTCTGCTGCAGAAGCTGTAGTGGGTGACACTTAACATGCCAGGGCACAGGTGTGGGGTGGGGCCTGCAGGTGTGGAGTACGGCAGGTGAGAGAGTGAGCTCTGGCTTTCATGGCTCCCCTGGGAGTTGGTGGAGATGGGGCCAAAGCACCCTTGGGAGGCCTACCGCTCTGGGAAGTGGCTCCCCCTGCTCATCTACCCTTCTCGAGAGCCCCCCCGGTGCCCCCCGACAAGGAGGGGAATCTGTGTGACAGCAGCTTCTCCTGGAAGCCAGCAAGAGGGTGATGACACGAATGGCTCCATTCACTCCCTCCCTGCTCGGCCAGGCTCTTTGCTGTCTCCCCTCATTACCACAGTCCTGCAGAGTGGGCGCTGTCTCCCCTGCTTCAGGGGAAAACAGGCTCAGGATGAATCATGAAATGACCTGCCCAAGAGCACAGAGCTAACAAATACACTCCTGGGACGACTCAGATCCAGGTCTGTCTGGGGCAGGTGCCATACTGGACATGCAGAAACGGGCCCCCTGGAATGAAACCAGGTGACATCAAGACAGCTAGGGACAGAAGTCAGGCCTCCGGCCTCCTGGCAGTTGCTGTCCCTCAGCCAGCCCCCCAGCTCAGCCTCCCCACCGGAGCTGGAGAGGAGCCAATCTCATGGCCAGAGTGCCACCTGCACACGCCAACCCTGACAGCAGGGACAAGGCTCAGAGCCAGCAGTGCTGGTGGCCGGCCCCCAAGAGAGCTGGGCCAGAGCTGGACAGGCCCGGCCCACAGTCTGCCTTCCCTGAATGAGGCAACAGCCCCTCCCCAGCTAGCCCTGGGCAAGGCCTCTACCCCAAACCCTGGCTTTTCAGACCGAGTCACACAGACTGGGGCTTCCACAGACCCTGCGCATCAGAGGCACGGCAGTGTTTGCTCCTTCCTGTCTCTTAGCTCAGGAACGCTTTCTCACTCCAACACAGTTCTACTGAGGCTCTCGTCCTGCTGCTGCCTCCACGCTCCTCCGCGGTGCACTCTCCTCATCTCTAAAGAGGACTAACAACAGGCCTATGGAAGCTCGCCTGAGATAAGATCAAAAAGGAAAGTAACTCACTAATAAGTCAAAAAAACACTTGTGCTTAACAAGGACACCCGACGACAGCTCTGGGGGTGGCAAAGACAAGCCCAGGTATCAAAGGACATCTCAGGGCTGGAGAGATGCCCGGACCTCTCCACCTCCACCTCGGGTGCTGCAGGGCTTTCAGGGCGTGTCAGTGCCCAGGCGCTTGTGCTCTCAGCCCAGCCCTGTTTATGGTCTGCTATGTGGCCCCGCTCCCCCCACCAACAGAAGAACCACTCCTGATCCCGCACCCCTGTGAGGGCTGCTAGGGTGGTGACTGACATAATGGAGGGAAAGCCCTTGGAGAAGGTTTCAAGGGAGACCCAGCAGAAACCACCTGCATCAATAATAGATGCCTGGGATGCTGCATCGCCTGCCCACGCCCAGCACTTCTGCAGAAGGCTGCCCAGGGGATGCTCAGTTATTCACCAGCTGATGCTGCTCTTTTGGGGTGGGGAGGGGGCTGGTGGGATACATGGGTGCCGAGAGGCTGAGAGGATGAGTGCTGCCCCGAGCCTGGGCACTGCCTGCTACCCCAAGCTCAGCCCCGTTCACACACCCCTGAAGGTTCCCCCACAGACACTTGTCCCGGAGTCCTCGAGTTAGGTAAGAGAGCACTGCTTTTCCCCAGACAGGCTGTCTTCCTTTGCCTTTTCCAGCATAAGCCAAAACGTACATTTATTTCCCTGACATCAACTGAGCAAGGCATTCATAACTACTACAGATTTTTTTTCTCCAGTGCTGAGAAGTCTGGTACTGACTCCTGGCAAATACTTAATTATCCAAAAAAAATGATAGGACATTTGCTGCTGAATTTATTGCAAGTTACCCAAGAGATATGCAGGCATTGTGTCATGCAGAGCCCTAGGCTGCAGCAGAGGGGGCCAGCTGCCTACTCAGCCTGAAACAAGCAAATGAATTAAATTCACTACCCTGGAGATCAATCAGGACATTAAACACTGTGATGAATGTGGTAGATCTCTTCAGTGGCTAAGATTTACGGGGTACCTTTCACCAAGTGCTCTCGCAGATTCCCCAACATCAATTAGGCCTCATAACTAGGTAGACCCCCCTTTGCGCCCCCCTGCATAAGGAAGGAGTGTAGGCTGTGGGGCTGGAGTCTGCTAAATGCCACCAGAGACCGCCAGTGTGCAGACCAGAGCCCTGCTTCCCTGAGCAGATCGGCCTAGAGCAGAGGGGTGCCAGGCCAGAACAGACTTGGGGATCAGGGGCCAGTGTCCACCATGTGCTGGTGCTTCTGGAGCTCGTCCATACTGTCCTTCTGCGTGGGACACACTCGTCGCTGGCTAGCCGAACTGCCCCTTCTCAACTCGGCTCAGAGGTCTCACCTCACTCCCTCTGCTGCGCCCGCCCCAGCCAAGCTAAACGGGTGCCGCCCCTGTCCTCCCAAAGAGGGGCTTGAGTCTAGCGCAGGCTCCACATCTCACTGCCCCTCTGGCTGGTCCCCCCCTCAGCCAATTTGTTCATCCAGAAAGTAGGGGTAACGCCACCTGCTTTGTGGATCACCGTGTTAGAGAAAGCTACGGTTGGTTCCCAATCAGTAACACTGGCCAGAAGTTCTGGCTTGCGTTCCAGTTCCACCTCTGGCTTTGTGACTGGGGCAAACCCCTTTCTCTCCCAAGAGCCTGATTTCTTCATAGTTTCCCACCCTTTCCACCTCTGATGCAGGACCTTACATGAAATTACTTTACAAACCTAGGATTATCAGCAACTTGGGTTTCCCACAGGTATTTTTTAAAAATCTAGCAGTACACTAAACGTGGCAGTTTATCACCCTAACGAAATTTATCGGTCAAGTCACCTCTGGCTGACCAATGGCATTTATCATCCAGCTTGTCCTCTGGGTTTCCCAGACTCTCAAGCCCAGTTTTACGCTCATGAAAGCCACTGCCTTTCAGGAGACAGTGTGAAATGCTGCCTAGCCAACCATCCTTTTGAGAAGACAGCAGAGAGCACTCAAGGTTTCAAACCCCAGCCCAGCACAGACACGCCCGGGTTCTGCCGGCAGCACGGCTCCCACTGGCCCGGGAGGGAGAGTGCTACTCCCTGCCAGCCTCGCCCACAGCTCTGGACCCACTTCCGCTCTCCT